ATCACTGATGATGTCACATCCTGTCTCTACAGACTGTTACACCTGTCAGTGACATCACTGATGATGTCACATCCTGTCTCTACAGACTGTTACACCTGTCAGTGATGTCACTTCCTGCCCTGACTCATGGCACCTACCCCCACTGTGAAGAAGAAGGGTCTGACGAGCCGGCCGAAGGACCGGGGGGAGCTGATGGTGGCCTCCGGGTCCACCATCGGTGTAGGGGTCCGGTGCTGGACCGCAGACTTGGGGGTCTCTGTGTGGGCGGGGCCAGGGGTCTCCATCTTTTTGGGTTCTGTTTTTTTGGAAACATTTCTGAAACAACGTCTCTGCTGGAAGCTGTGAGGCCACCTGCTGGGCACACACAGAACTACAATCAGATCATGTCTCTGCACTGCAGGGGTCAAAGGTCACTCAGGTCCACAGGTGGTCAGGGTCTCTGTAAAACAAATAAACAACCCACGCACAGGAAGGTTAAAAACAACAACAATAATAATGTTTTCATGCAGGAGCCTGAGGGGCAGACTGGACCGGACCATGGAAATGTTCTGAAGGTCTTTCACAGGTAGGAGCCAGGGACTGGGACTGCAGGGAGAGGACTACTGGAACCAGACAGGGTCATACTGGTGGGAGGAGGAGGAGGAGGAGGAATGGCTTCAGTTGAGCTCCATCCTCCAGACAAGTGGAGTTTGATGAAGGTGGGGATTTATTTTAAAGTTACACACTGCTCAGAGAGCAGGTGTTCACCAGAAACTTTTAAATAACTTTTAACACATTTTAATCATCAGATGTTTAAATGTTTCTGTGACCAGCTACAGCTCAAACACACAGATCGAGTTATCTAAGCTCTGCTGACCTGCAGCTAACAGCCGGTTCATTCAAGCTAACTGATGCTAACAGAAGCTAACTGATGCTAACAGAAGCTAACTGATGCTAACAGAAGCTAACTGATGCTAACAGAAGCTAACTGATGCTAACAGAAGCTAACTGATGCTAACAGAAGCTAACTGATGCTAACAGAAGCTAACTGATGCTAGTTCCGGACAGCGGAGCTCAGTGTCAGCCGGAGAAGACTGCTCCTCTCCGGCTGCAGGGACTGACCTGCCCCGCCACGCGGAGTTCCGGATCAGGTCTCCTCCGGTCGGTCTGAAGAGGACCGAGCAGCTCCTCCAAGCCATGAGTCCAGTTACCTCTGCGGGTCATCCGGAACCGGGTCAGGACCGTAAGGAGACTGCAGCGACACCAAGTGACCGGAAGGCGACGCAGCAGAGCTACAAAAACAAAATAAAAGCTCAATAAAATCGCTGCAGTCAGTCATCGGGACGGATCACAACATCCGGCTGCTACTTTCAAAATAAAAGATTAGTTTGAGTCCGACCCTATTGAAATATTTTTTAATTTGAAAATRACCTAAAAGGCATTTCAGTTTAAAGTGTAATCACTTCTTTACATCCCTTTATTTGAAAACAACAGAGCATTTTAACAGAAACAAGACAAACAAAGCTGCTGGTAATGTAT